AAAGAGAGAATACTCGCTGATGTCCACCCGCTAGTTTCTGAAAGGAAACTTTGCTGTGAAAAAGACGACACGTAGCTTCTCTGCTATTGCTATTGACCAGGCCCACGACCAGAACAATGCCTCTGTGAAAGGTGACGGTGGTGCTGTGGGCCTGACAGAGAACCCTGCAGCTCTGAGACGCTGGATGGTGTGTGGTCCCGAGATGGAAACTGGCCGGAGTTTCTGTGCATCGACGACAACAAGGCTGAGCTGTTCTCTTTCCTGGCAACTAGTGTGATAGCCCTTGACACTGACAAACAAAATAATCACACAATCATGCTGACTTCTTCTGTACGCAGCTCCCGAGATATATCAGGTCTTGCATCATGCCACACATGTAAGAGGCCTGATACCCGTATCCTACTGCACCTAGCAGATGCTGCGAGGAAGGGTATACCAAGGTGTCAATACGCACGAGTTGACAGGATGTGCTAGTACTGGAATGACAGCAGCCCACGCCTCAACATCACTGAGCGTGTGGGTTGGCCTTTGAGCTGGAGAAGAGTTTTCGGACATTTAGCAGCTCATGAGATAGCGAGGCACTAGGTCCGGATCGATGCATAGGCCTTACCAATGTTCCATGCCTTTACTGGATTGTGAGCACAGATCAGCTTTGGTGGCAGGGGAAGAGAAGACGGCGTGGGATACATGGAAGACCTTTGATGACGTCACTAGAGCCTTCTGGTGTCTTGCTGCCACCCTCACTAGACGCTCGTATCAAGACACGTCTACCTGGATGGTGGCCTCTGGAACGATTCGTGGTTTGCTCTATGACCGCACTTAGACAGCCAGGAATTAGTCCATCAGGCTACGCAATGCAGCTGTTCACGAGAACCAGACAAGGTAGAACATTGATGGACTCCCCCACCAAGCAAGCAGGCACTGATTAACACACAAAGAGGGCTGCTACCAAGCCTGGTGGCACTGCTGGGGAACAGATGATGGTTGCAGCCGCCAGAACATCCCATCTCCAAGGTGACGGGGTGGAAAGAGAAGGACACAGGTAGATGGGCAAAGTTCACTGACCACCGATAACGCATAGAAAGCGACCGACACGGCCTGTCGCGACGTCCTCCACTGTAAGATGCCATAAAAGGGGTGGCAAGAGGAAGGTGCGTCAAATGTGTCAAGGCAGCACTTCAGTGCACTGCCCTTTGGCCTCTTGGTGACTGTGTTCTCAGACTAACATTGGCAATTCATTGAAAACCAGTATACGCTATGGAAGGGCTCTTGACTTGGTTAATAATAGGAGGATTGTCATGGATTTGTGCGCTCACCGGCTCCTGCGGACTTCTACAACAAACAACAATTGGGACATGCAGATATTGATTTGGCAAGATACAGGCATAATCTCGTGAACTATGTGCTGCATCATAAAATAAACTAACTACAAGTATTTTAAAGGAAACACTGGAAGTACTGCATTATAAACTCTCACATGTTACAGGTTCGAGAAACATGTATATAACTCCGGCCAAATATTAAATATGTTGATGGTTTGCTATTATTTATGTCCTTGAATCCGTAGATAATAGTCTATGTAGTTAGGTAGTTGCCTAGCGGTGTTGTAAATAGTACCTACTGCATTTCCCCATACACTCACGCATTTTTCATTTACAGCTTTGTTTAATTAAATTTTGTGAACCAAGTATGAATACCTTTAAGAATGTAATTTTCAGGTGTAAATAAAGTGATTTGAATTGAATTGAAGTAACATTTGAAATTGGATAATGGATATTTGAATGGCGGCCATTGTTGAAATTCTAGATGCGCGCTCTGACCATAATGATTTTGATTGCAATGTGTTCCTTGACCTCCGATATAGTTGGTTTAGACACAATTAAACATCATGTTTCTATGTTGAATATTTCTGAAATATTAAATGATAATGGATTTTGAAATGCGGCCATTTTGAAATCCAAGATGGCGGCCGTGCGACTCGATAATGATTTTGATTGGCAATGTGTTCGCTTAACGCCGATAAGTTGGTTTAGGACACCAAGATCATGTTTCTATGTAATAATTTAGCTGAAAAATATTAAATGATAATGATTTGAATAGCGGCCATTTTGAAATTCAAGATTAGCGCCTCCGACCGATGAATGATTGTGATTGCAATTGTGTTCCTTGACCCCGATAATGTTGGTTTAGACACCAAGATCATGTTTCTATGATTGAATATTAGGCAGGAGTGTATAATAGGGGAGAGTGTGACATCAAAAATAAACAAGGCAAATTCGTCATTTACTAAACGCTTATAATACTACATTGTACTCACAGCCGTAAAGCTGCATCGCAAACCTTGAGCTCAAATCGGACACAGTACATTGTTCGGCGCCATCATCTTACGAGAAATCAGTTCCATCGTAGACACCCGCAATCCAGAGATACAGCCTAAAACGTCTCGTCAAGCGATTTCCATGTCTTATCGCGACATCAAATGTCCAAGCCTATTGCCACGCCCTATAATTCAAATCAAAAGGCAGGCTACTAACCACACTGTCGCACGGCTTGCGCTCACGCGAGGCGAGATGCGGGTGTTAGGTCATCAACGGCAACACTCGGAGATACTTTGACCCGGTAACGACTACAATGTATGCCTTATGTCATACGCGGCCAATGCCGGCAATATACAGCTTGCATGCCCTAGCCACGACTAGTAGCACACGCCAACATGCCGCTATCAGCAGAATGATCGATTCATCTCCCTGCGAGCCACAGGCGCCTCGGCCCGTGAGCAGCAGCGCGTGGGGTGTGGTTAGTAGCTGGCCTTTTGTTTGAATCATAGCATAGGCGCGCTCTACGGTTGATTAATGGCCAAAGATTGGAGAATCGTGTCGTAGGTTTTAGGTTGTATCTTCGAATTGCGGGTGTCTACGAGGAAACGATTTGGTACGATGATGGGCGAATGTACTGTGTCCGATTTGAGCTCAAGTTGGATGAGTTACGCGTAGTAAATCGTAGGTATTATAAGGCTAGTAAATGACGAATTTCCCTTGTTTATTGTTGTCACACTCCTCCCTATTATACACTCCTGATATTAGCTGAAAATGAAGGATAATGGATTTGGATGGTGGCCATCTTGGAAAATAGCCGCCATTGTTGCCATGGGACAAATATGCGATGGCCCTATAGCCAAAAATTTTCCTTAGGGCATGCTCTAACAGTGTGCCAAAACTCATGCTTGTATCATAAAAATCGCAATTCATTCACAAATCTGCCGGGCTAATTGTATTGTATTGTATTTTATGTATTGTATTTATTTCATTGTAGTATTGGTATTTTATTGAGTTGTTGTGTTGTTGTTGTTTTTTCTCTCTTTTCAGGGTTTCAGGAAATTTGTCTTGTTTGAGCAGATGGTTTTACTTGGAAATTCGTGTCAAGTATTGAAATTATATAAGAGTGGTCAGTGAGATTTGTCGGTGGGCAGTGTAACCCATAAGTTTTGTACTAATTGTGGTCAGTGCGAAGTCTTGTAAACATTGTTTTTTATTATTATGTGGGGAGGGGGGATTGTGTTCAGTGAAAGGGATATTGTATTAGTATGGTCAACGGTGCGTGGAATTTTGTTTAATTCGCCAGGAAGAGGTAGCAAGTGTGTGTGTGTGCGTGTGTGCGTGCGTGCGTGCGTGTGGGGTGTGTTAGATATGGTGTGGTATGAAGGTAGTTAAAGAGGAAATTTAGATCAGCGGGACGCTGAATCGATGATAGGGTCATCGTCTTGGGGAAGGGGGCGATAATGTAATATATGTTTTACAAATGTTGCATGAATTAGTCAGCGGAGCTAGACTAGGGGTTGTTTTAGTAATAGTCTATCTAGACACACATGTTACATGGAATTGGTTAAGCGTGTTTTAGGTTGGGCAGATTAACGAGTCATTGTGAAATGGGGATAGGACGCAGCTAGTTTGGTAGAAGGATACATGTGCGCCCCATATGTTGTAGTTGGAACAGAGACAAAGAGATTGGCAGTCGTGTGTGATTGGTTAGGAAGGGTGGAAGATGTGTGTGGTTGGTTAGGAAGAGTTTGGAGATGTGTGTGATTGGTGGGAAGTTTGCATATATATAGGGCTTTTGAAGAGAGTTGGGAGTTCTGGCATTCTCAAGATAGCGTGTACCGTTTACGACCTTGTATTAGTTGTAAACAATATATTCTTTTAGTTGAACACAAAATTTATACTTCGTCTTTGATTATTTCTACTTTAAATTATTTATTCAAATCTTTTTGGTGTAACTGCAATGCTAAAATAGTATTATATTATCATATTAAATAACCAATGTATGTGTTTAAAAATGCTTATTTTTATTGTCTGTATTACTTCTTCTGGTCAAAATAATTCCCGTGCCTATGCATCTTCTATCATACACAGGCCTGTGGCTAGTGGGGATGGGTTGCTGGTTCACATAGTCAATGGTGAGCTGCCTACAATCAACTGCCAAGAACACAAGCTGCACGTTGATTCACCCCCCCCCCCCAAGGCAAAGTCAAGTTAGCTCCGACACCTGAAACAAGAGACGTCAATGGGAGAACAGGATTGAAATTGCATAATTTCGCATCGTCGGAAAAGTATTGCTTTCGGGTTTAGCTCTACATTCGTGATGCAACAAAATGCATATGTACTCCAGTTTAATGCTTACAAGACTCACCAGGTGGTGTTGGTGTGGGAGGATCGTGCTTTTTCACAGCTGTTGCATAGCTGGTACTGGGCGTGGCAATAGGACCTGATACCTGCCCCAGTGTTGTGTTGCCTGGGCTAGCTGGTAGAGTGTTCTGAGCTCCTTCTGCTTTGCCATCGAGTCTGAGAGTAAAATGAGGTTTACAGAAAAAATTCCATATAGTTGCTCTATTAACTAATCAAATGAAACACTGTGTGACTGTAAAGCTGGATTTACACTACCGACTTTGTGTTGGCAAATTGGCGAATTGGACCAACTTCCCAACTATACAACCGACAAGCGGTAGTGTAAACGCAAATGTTGCGCGACCAACGATCGATAGCAACTAGTTTGGAGATTAGAACGTTCTATTTTCGCCAAGTCGGTAGTGTAAACCCAGCTTAACAGCAGAACCACGCTGACTATCAATTACGAATTGTTTACTAATACAAAGTTAGTATCAAACACGTTATAAAATTAGGTATGAATTTCTTATTGTTCACATACATGATCATTTAGCCAGAGGCTGGCACAACATGAAAACTGCCTGTAGATTCCTTGCCTGCCTTGTTATTGCAAAGAAAACACTCAACACATAAGATCACTCCTGTTTACATTAAAGGGATACATCACTCTATGATCTTTGGATATTTTCAGTAAAAATTGGTTAAAATTATGCTCAAAGTTTTATGGTTCAATATTCATTAGAAATATTTAATAAAATAAAAATCGTTCGGTTAAATATAGCTGTTAGGTATAAATATAAAGTTCTGTCTTTGCTGTCTTATACGCAAAGTTTCTTTATTGCTATAACACGCTCTCGGAAAAGGTAGAAAACTGTAATACAAACGAGATACATGCACTATAATGCACATGTTCAAAATATATCCTGATTCCTTGTCTATCGTCACAAACAATTTTCTACCCTATTAGTATTACCGTTATATAATTGTTCAATTGCGAATAAAATCTTGATTCATATTGAAGTTCTCATTGATTCATGATTACACACTTGTGCTATTGGTATTCTGGCTTATATGTATCTGATCGAGGTTCACGCTATGTAAATTTTAGGTAAACATATCGCAATAAGACGAATCCTACACTCACTGCATACACAAATATACACCGTTACACGCATATTCTAACAAGCCTACGAAGTCTACAAAGTCTATAAAGCCACGACTTATGATGATGTTAAACAATTCTACGATTAACTATAAAACGGTATAAAACAACTCACTCTATGGGGGGACCTAGTTCTTCTTAATTCTTGCCTAGAAGACGAGCGCCAGAGCGCAAACCTCAACACTGTTCTCTCTTTGTGAACAGAATCCGCGCCAAAAACAATGCGCACCATCTAGTGGCAGCTAATGCAAATTAAAACTTATGATCAATTCTCATCGTCTATGGTGTAACATTACAATTACACTTTTGTGATTTGCCCTTGGTCTGTAACGTGTGAAATAAATTGGCAAATGTGCAACTTTTTCAGGGTGGCAGCCTCATGTCAGGGTGGCAGCGCAGGGTGGCAGCGCAGTGTCATGTCAGCGGTCAAAATAAAAGATTTTGAAATTCACTGTTGTTTTATGACAAACGTTAATGCGTGATTATAGAAATTTGTAGGTATATGCTATTATTTATGCATTTACTCTCATAATATACTCTAAAATTCTAGGGGAAAGTATCCCTTTAACAATGAGCACAAGAAGGTTAACACACCTGTGCTGTTTGAGCATTGTACACTCTCCTCCTTCTGTCGGGTCAATGTTGTATATATACAAATATCCATCAAAGGACGCTATCAGCAGTCGTGGCACTTTCTGTATACTAGAATGTAAAATAAAAAATTGAAACATAATTTCACCCTGAAAGGAATAAAATTGTTTGTACACGTTACGTGTACGTTGCGTAATTTTGAGTAAAATACATTTACATGATTTAACATTTTTTTAAGAGGCCACAACTCCTGACCATAGTGTTTTGGTGACACGATAAAAAGACGCGAATTGAAGTCAATATTGATAGGAAACCCGAGTCCAGGAGGACGCGGCGACGACGGGCAAATGCACTCGGACAAGCACTGGTGAGTGTTCGTCATCGTGCCGTGGATTGCTTGAGTTTATCGACAGCTACCCAACACAGGTTGCTGCTAAAACACTCACACTGCGAGCGCACAGATGTTTTTCACGCCGGTGAAGTTAAGTCTGACGGTGGCAAAGTCCCGCCCCTGCTGGAACATCTCGCTGACCTGCGACGGCAGGTAGGCGGCGGGGGCAGCCAGTGCTTTACTGAAGTACCCCATCCAGCCCTGCGGTTCCTCGGCTGGTCTGCAGAGATACGTCACACGCTCACACAGAGATCAAGCGTCTGTGCGAACAGAGGTCATACAGGAGATAGCTCTTTAGTTGGGATGGTTCACGTGGATCACGCGAAACGTCACAACTGTCGCCACATCACAACAAACCAAGCATGAAACACGTTCCATATGAGATGGCTGTGGTCAGGAACTGCATTTCTTACATAGAAATGCTCACATGTGGCAATGAAAAGTGATGTGTAATACTGCACAATATAGGATTGCGCCACAGGGCACGAGTCATGCTGGTCATCAATCCAAACCAGTCACAACAGCTTTAGACTGGAGGAACCGGGTGACCAACGCATACGGCCAGCGAGCCTGTGAGTGGTCAGTGTCCAGGGCTACGTCACCGATCAATAAGATGCCGCGCCCGACATATATAAGCGGAGGGAGGAGATGTAGGGAAGACGGAGAAGAGGCACTTACGTGCAGGGTGACCCCCAAAAAATGCAACCCAAACAAGTGTTAATAACTTTTTTGATATTGATGTTAACCCTTTCATTTTTCAGATTTAACGAGGTGAATAGTTGCCAATCAGATTAGAATCAAGAGTTTTTCAAGATGCCTTGGACTCTTCGACAGAAATCATGGTCCGTGGAAACGTACTTTTCGACCAAATCGTTCAAAACTGTACAAGCACGTTTCAAGAGGAAATTCAATTGCCGCACCTATCCAAACAAAGGACTCATTCTAAGATGGGTACAGAAGTTCAGGGTGCATGGGACTGTCAAGAACCTCAATGCCAAAGGGAATAGCTGGCCCACACACTCAGGGAGACAAAGACAGTGCAAGGACAGAGGAGAACATGACCTCAGTCAGGACCTCGGTTGGCCTCAGTCCAAAGAAGTCGTTACGTTGGCGCAGCCAACAATTGGGCATTCCGAGGGAGTCTCTGAGGAGAATTTTGATTTAGGATCTGCATTCGTACCCATACAGGATAGAAATTAAGCATAAGCTGACCCAGATAATTCTCCTCAGAGACTCCCTCGGAATGCCCAATTGTTGGCTGCGCCAACGTAACGACTTCTTGACTGCGGCCACCGAGGTCCTGACTGAGGTGATGTTCTCCTCTGTCCTTTGCACTTCCTTTGTCTCCCTGAGAGTGTGGAGAGTATTCCCTTTGGCATTGAGGTTCTTGACAGTCCCATGCACCCTGAACTTCTGTACCCATCTTAGAATGAGTCCTTTGTTTGGATAGGTGCGGCAATTAAATTCCCTCTTGAAACGTGTTTTGCATTTTTTTTGGGTCACCCTGTATATGTCGTAACATATTATATATATTAGAATAAAGCCGTCTATATTATACACGACGCCTTCGACCATCACTGTCTACGATCATTGACCGACGTTTAACATGTGACATCCAAAAACCTTCCCTACACCTATGCACCTCTCTCAAAGTCATGCTAGCAAACTGTCAATATGATTGCTGTTATATACTGTCTATACTTGGTGGTCTACGAGTTTAACCACGTTGGGGTAGGTGGCACCATGGCAGAGCCAGTAAGGAGGCAAATGCTAACGACTACTACTAAGAATAAAGATTAAGAAGCACTGTTACGTACCCCCGTAGTGTAGCAATGTATATAATTACTATATGTAGTGTTGTGAAAGCACAGTTCCATATTGCGACATATAGACATAGATTGCAAGGGAAAGAAAAAAAATAACAAAGAACGAAAGTGAGAGTGACCTCTAGTTCCGTGTCACGTATGCATGATGTTAAGACATATGCAAGCACGCACACGCACGCGCACGCACGCACGCACGTGTATGTGCATATGCACGCACACACGCACGTGTATGTGCACATGCACGCACGCACGCACGCACGCGTACGTGCACACGAACGCACACCCGCACGTGTACGTGCACACGCACGCGCGCACGTGTACGTGCACACTCACGCACGCACGCACGTGTACGTGCACACGCGAAGACTGTAGCATTACAACGATACAGATGCATGCGTATGTGTACATCCACACGCACGCACGCCCGCACGTGTACGTGCACACGCACGCACGCACGCACACACGCACGTGTACGCGCACACGCACGCACGCACGTGTCCGTGCCCACGCGCGCACGCACATGTACGTGCACACGCACGCACGCACGCACGCACGCACGCGTACTTGCACACGCACGCGTACGTCCACACGCACGCACGCACGCACGCACGTGTACTTGCACACGCACGCACGTGTACGTGCAATCCCACGCACGCACGCGCACGCACGCACGCACGTGTACTTGCACACGCACGCACGTGTACGTGGCTACGTGCACACGCACACACGTGTACGTGCACACGCACGCACACACGCACGCACGCACACACGAACGCACATGTACCTGCACACGCGCGCACGCGTACGTGCACACGAACGCCCGCTCGCACGTGTACCTACACACGCACACACGCACGTACGCACGCCCGTGTACGTGCACACGCGACGACTGTAGCATTACAACGACACAAATGCATGCGTATGTGTAATGTGCGGTCGAAATACGAAATGTTTTTCACAAATGACCTAACCCGGACGAATTCGTGGCAAAGTTGGCGCATGCGCAGACTGTAAGTACCAACTGGCTTATTAGATGGTTTGGGAATTATATGCATTTCCGCACGTACTTACTGCGTTCTAGGCACCAATAATCTGCCATAGGACAACGTATTTTTGTACAAATAAAATCATTAAAAAAAGTTACATCAGTTTAATTAATGCTAGTACTAGTACTAGTGTGGGCTGGGAGTATACCGATACTCTGAGAGAATGGCATGAAAGAATAATGCAATTTTCCCCCATTCTATGTGAAAAATCTTAATACCTGAAAAGAAAGACTGCTTTAAGACGAAAATTACTGCTTTCAAACTACCGTCATGTGTGCACACTTGACTGTATCACAAGAACGCTAAGAACACACAAGATGCAGGACATACTAGGCTGTTAATCACCGATATATCTTAGGAACCCAATAACATATAAATCTACAATCTACACTCTAGGACTCCAGCTGCAAAATATTTGCATGCAAACTTGACTTCACGTGTGCAGCCCACGGGAACTAAACGGTTCATGAATTGATCATCACCCATGACTGACGATGACGATATATGTGAAAACATAGTACACATCACGTGCTGTAACACTGTTTCTGACTCACTTCTCCTTGGGTCCCTCTAGTCGGAATATGTGCACAGTTTCTGTGTTACTTGACACTCCGAGAAACATGGAGTCAGAGCTGAATGCGAGTGAGCTAATGGCAGCACACCTGCAATCAGAACATGTTACAAATACTCCTATAACATCTCTCATAACATTGGCATTCATCAGAGTTATTTCGTCAAAAATATTCGATATATGATTTATTTGAATATCACAAACACAACCCAGGTGAATAATTATTTACTGAACCACCGCCAAAAATAGAATAGGTGTGTTCGTTCGTGGAAACATTCTTCGAAATCGAAAGCAAAGCTTTACGCTAATCTAGTCACTAGTGTGAGACATGACAGATTTAATTATATAACATTACCACAAACAATTTATATACAACGAACAGAAAAGATTGCTATACCAGCTGTTACAACAATAACACCACTTCCAAATATTTGAAAAGCACCGCTGGGATGCCAGAAAAAGGTTTCGTAAGTTAGCATGAGTAACACTGTTTCTGATAACTGGTTATTATGTAGGAACATGCTCAATATAGTTTCAAGTTAAATTAGTTGTATATGTAGACATTCCACATTATTGACTAGAATAATGCATTTAGAATATGCAGTTTAGCATTTTTAATAAAAATTGTAGCATTTTACTTGCTAGAAATAAATGCTATGGTCAATTTAGAGTTGTATATATTACAATTCAATGTTGTCCTAATGCCGCAGCAGATACCAACAGTTAAAGGGATCCTTTACTCTAGGTTCTAGGATTATTTTCAGTTAATTTATGTTAAAATTACGCTACATAAAAAGTTTCATGGTTCAATCACCATTAGAAATTTTTTATTTTTTATTTTAAAACTAACGACTACAGTTTGATACGACTACAACGACGGTGGCGCCACTCAAAGCGCACGATCTGAAAAGTTGTGCAAAACGACTTTTCAGCCAAGGGCTACAGACAGAGGGTGTTTCTTATTTATTAATTTAAAAGCAAAATGATTGTAATATCTTATGAACGACATATAGTTTCAGTTATATTATGGATAAATTTGTCCTAAAATGAACATCGTTCCGTTAAATAGCATTTAGGTATAAATATAATTGCACCTTTGTGATTAACCCTCGGTCTGTAACGTGCAAAATATATTGGTAAAATGCACAACTTTTTCAGGATGACAGCACGGTCGCGGGTGTCAATGGCGCCGTTCAAATTTCGTAGCGTTGATGTATAATTAATTATAACAATTAAATTAGGTATCTGGTAACAAGTACGTGTGGGTATAGAGGATTTGTTATACAGTAAGTACAGTTGTATGCAGTAAAATCCTAGTCTAGCATCCCTTTAAATGTTGGTTTACCATGATAGATGTTTTTAAAATTAATGAAAGTATTTGCAAGATTAAAATGGTGATTTAAATAGCATTCTAAATGAAAAGGTGATAGAAGAACTATCCGACACCATTTGCAATCATGAAAGTAGATCCATTAAGACATCAGCGTAGGCAACACCTAGGTCCTTTTCAAAAAATTATTAAATGGCAACATTGCTGCAACAGCTGGTATATATCTGTCTTTCAAGCTCATTGTATAGCCATGTTCACGGCATCATGTATGGTTTGCAAAAACGGCAGAAAAGAGTGGTGCAGAAAGAATGGAGCAATGATTGGCAGCCAACATAAGAAGATGAGCAAAAAGGACGAATGGGCGGAGCAATACCGAGTCATATTGTGCTAGCAGAGGGGCGGAAGGGAAGAGTGAGGTCACTGCCAGGCCAAGGAGAGAGCAAAACGGGTAGGTAAACGAGTGGCATCCATGTCTTACCTCTTAACTCCTCTCCGAAACTCGAACAGCTTTTGACCATCTGGCACGGAGAAAACTCTTATTACTGTGCCCTACAGAATGCAATAGAAAAATAAAATATGTGAAATTCTGTAAACCAGAGTTAGAATTTAACTTTTGAAACAACTTGCATTTCTTTGCGTGTATGTTAAAAGTCTACTTGCAAAATCAGAAACATACTCTCGATTTTGAAATTTGACTAGTTTTATGATAATATGTTGCCTTCATGTTATTGTTAAAACTTAAATATAACTTTATTTAAAGTAACACTGTAACTGCTATCAACTTTACAAAGCACAAATTTAATGCTGCCTGCCTTTCATTTTGAAATAAACACTATTGAGACAGTCTAACTAGTATGAGTCTTCAAGTAATAATGACTCATCCTCTCATATTTCAGCCAGCCAAACTTTAGATTTTTTTTCAAACAGCATTTTTCATGTGAGTCTACTAAGGTGGCTTGAAAGTTAGGCAACGTAAATGAGTCAGGATGACGCAGGAAATTTCATAAAGATCTGCGCACCAACACTCATCAACCAAGTCGGCTGTCTGGGTGCAGTTTTGGGAGTGAAACAGCTGAATCTAATGACATTCAAAATGTTGACTTGGCAACATTGGAACTGGAAGTTATCACTGCAAGTTGGAATATAAATCATGGTGTGAGCACCATTGGGTCATTTATTTTTACTAACAATTACTAGTGAAGTTGCAGAACAGTGGCTTTTTATGTGGCACTTTTTGTGTGGAGCTGCATGGTCAACAAATCTCATTTCAACCTCTACTGTAGTGACCCTAGGGGAGGTCACTAGTGAGTATGCGCACAATGGTGCATTTTTAGATTAAATCTGGGATCATTTCTCGCTCCTTTACGAGGACGGAGTTGCTGTCTTTGATAATATTTTGCTTAGGAAAGTCTCCTCATATGACACCAGGTGTGGTCAATAATGCTATGCACTTGCAGCATTTAGCCTAAATGGCAGCAATTATGAGCACAGAGTCAATGCCTGGCAAGGTGGGAGGTGAGATTACGCATTCAGCATTCTGCATGCACACATTACACAGTGAGCACTTAAAAGTAGTCTAAAAGTGTCATTTAAAAATAAGTCGTTATGAAGTTATTTTAAAAACGTACAACACTTTTAGCTCAATGTGATATTAGGTCGATCAGTAGGGGATGACCAAATTTATGTGATTGTTTCACCGACAAACTGGGTGAAATTAGATACTGCCAAAATCTTCCACCTTTGTTTTTCAGCAGTTGATATCAAACGAGTCCTTATTTGTTAAAAATTAAAGGATCTTACCTTGTCTGACGCAGATGCCACCTTGGTACCCTGTGCGTTAAATGAGATGGCCGCAAGTGGGTTGTCGTGTGCTGGAACCATTGTCACTGCCCTCTGCAATGAGACAATGTCATCCCTTGCACTACACTGCAACACTGTACAGCATTGTGTTCTAACATTTTAACTGTGTCATAGATACTTTCCAATCATTTAGTGACACAAACCACTCGCCACATACCACAGTTACAGCAAACACATCAGTAAATTGCAACACAGCTACGAGAGGTATTATGCCCACGTGCACAGACTGCTATTCATGACATAAGATACCCTGATAGTTAAAGTGGATAACCTTACAGCTAGATACATACTGTGAGCTCGCCTATGTTGCAAAAATTCACTACAACTTATTTGTGTTGCTACTTTCAAAACATTTCTTCATAAAATCTAAACGAAAGTTACGAAAGTAGCACCACAGGATGTTTACAGTGTTGACACATCCGGTACACAGCCGACTGAACGTTATGCTGCATTAACAGTTCTTTTCTGTGATAACACGTGTTATACTTTATTGTTCGATGTTTACTCGGTACGAAATTGTGAAATTTGTTTAAATCACATGTTTATCTACATTACATATTATGCAATCAGGAAACAAATACAGTGTTTTCGTTCCAGGAACTATTTTCTCTGGCGTAGGGCTACTATTTAGCGTCCTCTGACACTTCACTCAACATAATTTATTTGTATTTTCGCCCAAATCGCGTCCGACGGGGTAATTCAAAATAGTCATCTTCAGAGCACATTTCTGGCTCAATGAGAACATTTCGTGATGTTTGCACACTGCAAGTATGCTCACAGTAGGTGTATATAGGCTTTTTGTTGCGAGGTTTATCCACTTTAAGAATTTTTACTAAGCCATATAAACTTGGTCACCCAAACAATATCTACATATCACCAAGTCCTTATATTAAACAAGAGCCGCAGAGCGTCTGGGCTCATCTGAGGTCTGTTGCTACGGTTATAAACGTAACATTTAAGTCGTGCGTAGTAACACCATAGTTAGGCGCAGATATGCAGATACGCAGTTGCGTACACATCATTTCAGCAACCTTCTGCATTCTGTATACCTCCCAAATCCCATTGGTTGATACAAATCGCGTGCCTGAAACTCCTGTTTTATGGTGCATTGTGACCCTAACCTTAACCCTAACCCTATTAAAAATAAAAATTAATTTAATTGTTGTAAAAATTATTTGTTGTTATTAAATTGTTGTAAATAAATCATGTAAATATTTGCGTTAATTGGAAAAAAATAGTTAAATGGATAAAGATAGAAAAATACAGAAAACAGGTAAATAATAAAAAATTTGATGGGATTCGATCCAAGGACCTTTGAGCCGTAATCCTGTGCTGTTGGGCTATCCAGACATATTGGCTTTCTAGATTATGGATGTGCCATGAATATGAGAACACTGTGACATCATTGAGGCAGTTCAGGAATCCATGTTTAACCCTCCTCTTGAGGGTCAAAAGGTTATCAGACACTTACTCTTCGCACGTCAGTGGAAAGCACATTTCATGGTCCTTTCAATAAAGTGATAAAAATGGTAGGTCAGCGCTGAAACAAAAAAGTTTTTCACTCTGTCCATTAGGCCATGTCCTCAGAAAATGTCTGATATCTGACCTTTCCCCCACTGCCCTTTGACCTGCGACCTCCAATTTCGCACTGGTGATAGGTTTCCTGCCCATCACACTATACACCGAATTACGAGCATAGGTCGAGCCGTTAAGATTTGTGCCATAATTGCGTATTTCCTCCTATACTTTAAGTTAAGGGGGAAATATTCCCCCTCCGTTTACACATCTTGACCTTTGACCCTTGACCCCCAAATTTGTCATCCCGAGTCCTTTTCACAATCCCCCCTGACGTCCCAAATATCGTGACCGTACGTCGAGCGGTTAAGATTTGTGCCCAACTGTTGACGCACGCACGCACGCACGCACGGACAATCATGCGATTCTACAAGCTGCATCTGACTACGTCCGATGAGCTAAAAATCTGGTGACTTTGATGAAAACCCCACATTCTGCACATTTCATCACGTTCAGGCTTCTTGCTTCTACGTACATACAATAAAAGGTCATAAACTAAATACATAAACCGTCGTTGTCCACATACCAGATTTAACGCATCAAATATTTGCACTTCGCCAATGGTGCTGCTACCAGGATACGCCAAGTAACTGTTGTCACTGTTAATCGACAGTGCACAGAGGCCTGAAAATGCATCCAGACACTGAATTACGACAAACTGTCACAACAACATATGAAAGCGAAGCAGCTGGGACATGTGGGCTTTGGCATGGATGAGAGTGTGGGTGGAGGAATTACGATTGGCATAGCGTACGGTGGTATTATATTAAGATGTTTACTGGGTAAGGTGTGATAGGATCTGACACAACAAGCATTTGCTAGTATGTTTACATTGTTAATTACATCATAGTTCCAAAATATGTATTTGCTAGTGTGGGGGATGACAGAACTTGACTCATTGACACAATTAAAATTGTACATGGGCATTGGCTTGCACCCAGATAACCATGGGATGGATTTTGCCACTGTCCTTAGCCTACTTGCACTCAGCACGTTTTTTGTACAATACACGCGTAATTTAATCTACCTTGCAATTGCATATAGCAGTGTACCGCAAAACCACAAACAAATATGATTGACAACAGGTTGTAAAACATAGACAGGAAAATTCCTAGTGAATACTGAACCGTAAAATTCTGCACTCAGCATAATTAAAAATACGATCGAAAATGTGTCTCATACCTACACCGACGTGGTGCGATTTTAATGCTTGTTTGTGTGGCGCACAGACTACGACCTGTGACCACGAATTGCAACCTACCGCTTGGGTTTGGCGGAGTGTCGCGTATCGTGTGCAGCACCTTCATGTCACGTATATTGTGAATGTAGAGACTCTCCTCCAGACAAACGACGAGCCGCTGAGAAAAAAACACCGCAGCGATCGACGTTAAAAGTGACACACAAGTTGCAAATATAACATGCAAGGGTCCTGGTTATAGCAGAGTAACACGATGGAGAGGGGGCCCTGGTTATGTGAGGGAGCTCACAGAGTAATGTGAAGAGTAGGGGACCCTGGTTACGTGGGGGCAATGTGAAGGGTAGGGGACCCGGTTATGTGGGGCAGCTAGTAAAGAAAACTTGAAGGGTAGTGGGTGCTAGTTATGTGAGGCAACTGGCAGAGTAACAATTAAATGAATGGCAGGACCACTTAGGCAAAGTGAATTAAAGGATCTTGGGTCAGTCGAAGCTGCCACCATCATCTGCTCATAGAACCAGCCACGCTACTACTTACCGCTCTGTTCAGCCTCACAGCCAATATGGTGTTCGAATAACTGTAATTGCATATCTCTGTTCCCTTCTTGAAGTGGCACACCTGGAGTCACACAGGCAAACGTACGATGAGCAAAATCTGGTTTTTAAAGATCATTAACAGGTTAATGGATACTAGTCTCTGCCCGTAGACGATTGATTATTTGTGGCAGATTCTCGACCTGTTACCAGAGTATGCTCGTCAGAATATTCTACATAGTTTCATATGTTCATCGCAAACTTTATGCAGAATTGAACAATATGCTAATCAAATCTACGTGGGCAGAACAGTGCAGATGCCCTCAGTAAACCCAGTCCCAGTGGCTATTTCACACATAATTTAGTAATCCTACAAGTTTAAGTACACTCTAGTGTAGTATGGACACGCAGTAAGCAACTGTGTGAGGCAGGATGCACGCTTTGATTCCGTCAAATTAACCATGATTCCGGCTGGAACTGTTGCTCATTTAAATTATAATATACTAGGGCTAAGGCATGTGTGACCAGTGAATTTTAAAAGACAGAACAAGTTCTAATCATGAGCCCAAACAGCCATGCCTAGAAACCCTCCAAGGCCTAAAAAAAGACGTTTGTTTCCACTAACCCGACCGAGTCCATTTTAAACCGCCGAGTCGATACTTTTTATTGTGATCGGCAAAAAAAAAAATATTTAAAAAAATTTCAATTCCAACGTGATATCGATCGGTGAATGCATTGATTCATTATGCACTGCTGTGCCGCGCACCGATTCCGGTAGTAATTCCCGTGAAAACGATAGGGCCATATAGATATCATATAAACACAGATGTTATATGATATCTATGGATAAGGTGCTCGAATCTAAAAGCACAACAACAACAACAATGGCGACCTCCGTAGTGGTTGCGTTGTAATTGGACGCGTGTGTCCACGGCATCAAGCAAATTAGGACGATCGATAGTGAACTAAAAATTGAGAACATTTTTGTTCTCATACACCCTGAACAAACGGATACAAGTAAAGTAAAAGTGAGATGTCTAACATCGCCGGATTCGGAACCATTCGACGGGAACAAGGAAACGCAACTGAAAGAATTATCTGGAACAATTTGCGACAAATGTACTGGTGCTGGACTGATTGCAGCTGTGGCTAGGCCATACGGAAAAGGTTGAATGTCAGATGTGTATATATGCTGTACTGGTTCATATATAATATAAAATTTTCTTTTTAATGTCCGTTTTCCCTTTCGGGGTTGGACAGTTTTATTCCACGACGCCATTTCTCATCATGTAATGGTTTTTGGAGCAGAAGTTTTACAACCAACTTTTCCGGCCAACTAGGCGAGACAAATATCTGTCATGAAATCTTGTAAACGACAGACGAGTGTGCACCACAGACTGTTTGTGTTATATATATGCTATATATTGCCAAACCCTTACCTATTTGCATAATTTGTTTTTAAATATCAAAACCCTAGCCCTTATTCATTTACATACTAAAAATGAGCAAAATCCGTGGAACCTGAACCTGAGCTAATGGCAGATTCTCATTTTGCCAAAAAATTTGCCGTGGCTCACGAAAGTATCGTCGACTGCGTCTTCAAAAGTAGGACGTTTAATGATGGGCGCCATAAGCAGTAAGCAACTATACCCAATTTCAAACATGTGGGTCATAACGGTTCCATGAATATATCGCTTGACGCGCACGGCCGGACGTACGGACGGACAACGACCCTGAGCATGCCTCAGCTATTGATGATGTCAAGGTGAGCTAATAATTATATGTACATAATCACAATACTACTTTAGGAGTAAATAATAACAAAGCGAGGTGTACAAGGCTTTGTGTTATAATATGAGCATTTTCCCGCCATATTAACCTGACAATTTATGTTATAGGAACTTCAATTAAAGTTTATCAAGTAGCTCTTATGCTACCGTAGATTCACCTGCAGTTGCGGGGAAATCGTGTTTTCCTATATTATACTATTCGCAATCTGGAGATATTGCTAAGCAAAATATCTCACACTTGCGACGTGAGGTTTGTGCAAAGAGAAGGACTGAGTTATTTACAAACACTGGAAATAGCTCTGTGAAAATTTGATGAAAATTGATAAGGTGTTGTATTGGATTTCTGAGTGTTATGTAGAGTCTCTATTGAGAGAATAGACTTGCATTTCTTTTCTTTACATCACACGTAAAAGCCAGACACATGCAGCGACAACGACGACCGTAACGACAAGCGACTTTTCAGAAAAGTTAGAAACGAATTGTTTCCTATGAGCCATTGCCACATGAAGCGACGTGCGCCGGGCGACGACCTCGCGACAAAAATATTTGAGAAAGTTTCTAGTTTTCCGCGACTTTCGGCGGCCGACACTGTTACAAATGGGCCAATCACAGCCGTTTCCATCGGCAGTGACATCGCCATTACCGTCTAAAATTTTAGAAACCATATTGCTAGCATGAAGTGACTGTCCCCAGCGTAAATCGCACCGCCTGTCAGAAACAGTGGGGCACGAAACCCTCTAACAAAAAAAGATGAAAGTAAACGGTCAGATCCAGACGTCGTTTAATTATGCTGCCATATATATTTACTTTATTCTATTATCGTTATAATTTAGAGGTTTTACAGCAATTTTATTTAGAAAAGCAGCAGCAGGAGTTTTTTTGCC